AAACATATATGAGTTATTTTAATCATTAGATAGGATTGTAAACAAAAATTTCCAAATAGAAGAGCATAGTATTTTAGGCTTATGAATGATTTGTATCTTGACATAACGTAATGAATATAAATTGTTCAATTAGTGCAGCCATGAACTCATACCAATCATATGTGTGTGTATGTATATATATATATATATTAATTTTAATTATTTTATTCTATTTTTTATTTTAAATTTTTTGTTGAGGAAGAAATATGAAGAAGTATAGATGAATATCTACAATAACAACAATATCAAACCTTTGTCCCACTCAAGGTTTAAAATTGCGTAAATAAGCCTCCAGACGTTTTTCGTTCTTGAGGTGAGGCGTAAGCCTCGAGGCGGTGTGAGGCGTAAGTCTCAGGCACGAAGAATTGCGTAAATGAGAGTTTAAGAGTTTTAGCAGGTAAATAACAGTAAGATTCCATCATACAATAAAAACATCTAAATGACAAGTGAAATTAGTGGAAAGTAAGAAAATAGATGCAATATATGCATCGCATAGTATAATTCAAAATATAGAACCACAAAATATAATCTATCAAAACTCCCAAAGTACAAATAAGAAAGAACATATTAAATCAAATCATGTTCCATCACTAAATGAGTCTTCAAGGGAATCTTCTTCTCCAATTGTATCTATGAATGTCAGATCTTCATTATCTTCAATGTTACTCACTTTTCTCTTACCTGTTCAATAAGAATGATTATTGTCATGTTAGTTGCCCACTTGATATATATATAATATAATAACACATAAGAAGTTGTGGAATACCTTTAGTTGCTTGTTGTGCTGCAGAACTAGTGGATGTGTGGTGTGGTACTAGTGGATGTGCCCACCTGATCTGCTTCGTCCCTCAAGACGTTCACACTTAGATCCTATAGTCGCAGGTCTGATAATGATAAATTTGTTTCATCATCTATGAATCACTCATTATCAGACGCCACATTATCACACATCAATGGTCCTCATTATCCTTCAACCCCTTATTCCTCAACCTTCTATTTCTCAACCTCTTGTTGTGCATAATATATACAAGAGAGTTCATTCTGAGTGTTGAAAGTCGATTTTCTTCTCTTCATTTGCACTTGACTATATGTACTCCAGTTTCGCTCACACCCAAAGGAAGAACAAGTGAAGTTCAAAATTCTAACAGCAAAACTCAGTAACTCAGGGGTGGAATCACCAAATTGGATCCACCATTCAACTATTTTCAAGAAAAAAATGATAATCAAAAGATATTAAAGTGTTATGCATGTACAGATACTTTGCAAAAAAATGTATATCTGGAGGCCGTTTAGCAATAGTAGATTTTGCTGCTTGCGGACCTGCGATTTTGTTTGTCCGCTCGGTTTCGGGTAGGCGAATATGAGAGGGGAGGAAGAAAGCTTAATTCTTTTAGACCTTAAGTGTGTGGGTCCCGGTTACAAGAGGCGTGTGCCTCACACTAAATTGCACAATTTAGCCTCAGAGGCGCGCCTCACAATGACAGAGGCGTACGCCTCATTAAGAACCAAAAAGGCTTAAGCACTGAGGCTATTTGGGCCAGAATTGTGCAGAGGCGCACTTCTAATTGCGCAATTTTAATTTATGGTCCCACTATATGGGATCGACTACATAAATCCTTTTTCTCCATCATGTCCTATTAAGAGTCAAATTCTTATTTAATTCTAATAAAGAAAGATCATTTTTAATATTTTCTAACAGTCTTTTTAGATCTACCTCTACCTTTCTTAACATAAGATAAATCAATACATCTGCTTTCCTAAACTGATCATCAGAAGGCCGCCGTAATATGTGTCCAAATCATCTTAAGGCTACTCTCAATAGTCTTATCTTCCATCGGAGCTACTCCAACAGTTTCACGTATATGCTCATTTCGTATCCTATCTATAAGAGTAAATCCACTCGTCCACTTGAGCATTCAATCTCTGCAACATTTAAAATTGCCAACAATCCACATCATAAAGCATTGCAGGTCTCACAACCGTCTTATAAAAATTTCCCTTAGTTTGAGAGTGACTTTTCTATCAAGCAAAAAGCGATGCATTCCTTACTTCAACCAACTAACTAGAATTTTACTAATAATATCCCAATCTATTTCACCATCACTCTGAACAATAGACACAAGATATCTAAAACGTATATACTTATTAATGACTTGATCACCTAAAGTCACAATTCCCCAAATAGATTTATTACTATTAAAATTACACTACATATATTCAGCTTTAGATCTACTCAAATGAAAACCCTTAGACTCTAAGGTTGAGCTCCATAATTCAAGTTTACCTTTAACTCCCTCTCTAGTTTTATCAACAAGAAGAATATCATTAGCAAAATGCATACACCAGGGTACAAGCTCTTGCAAATGTCTAGTGAGAACATCCATGACTAAAGTAAAGAGATATGGGCTCAAAGCTAATCTTTGATGTAATCTAACAGAAATATGAAAATATTTGATCAAACTACCTTGTGTTTGAACACAAGTAATAACACATGCATGCATATCTTTAATGATTTGAATATAAACTTTATTAACTCCTTTCTTTTCATTAACTCTTCATAGCACTTCTCTTGAAACTTTAATATATGCTTTCTCTAAATCAATAAATATCATATGTAGATCCTCCTTATTCTCTCTATATTTCTCCATCAAACCTCTTAATAAATGTATGGTTTCCATAGAATACCTACCTGGCATGAATCCAAATTGATTTTGAGAAACATTAGTATCATGCCGCAACCTGCCTCCATAACTCGCTCCCATATTTTAAAGTATAACACATTAACTTAATTCCTCTATAATTCGCACAATCTTGTGCATCACCTTTAGTCTTAAAAATAGGAATTAACAAACTCATTCTCCACTTGTCTTGCATCTTTTTAGTCTTCGAAACAGTATTACAAAGTTTAGTAACCCAAGAAATTCCTTTATCTCCTAAGCATTTACACTCCTCTATTGGAATATCATCAGGTCCAACAGCTTTTCCACACTTGATTTTTTTTAAAGCCTCTCTAATTACAATTTTACTAATACGCCAATAAAAACATAAATCTTTATTTTCATTTAGGGTGCTAAGATCACTAAAGTCAATCGTATTTTCACATTCTTCTTTAAAAATTTTTAGCAAAATATCTCATCCACCTTTGATGAATATCATCTTCTAAAAAAAGTACTTTTTGATCTTCATCCTTTATACACTTCACTTAAACTAAATCCTTACTACTACTATCTCTCTCTCTCTCTCTTTTTTACTACTACTATCTCTTTGTTTGACTAACTTATACATATATCTTTCTTCCTCCTTAGTATCTAATATATTATATAAATCATTAAAAACTAAGATCTTTGCATCGCATATTGCTTTCTTAGATTTTTTACGTGCTTCTTTATATCTTTCTCAATTATTATAAATTTTACATCTAAATCAATTTTTATACCAAATCTTCTTATTTTTTATCTTTTCTTGTACATTTGGATTCCAACACCAACTATTTTTACTATTATGATATTTTCCCTTTGAAACACCAAGCACATCTTTTGTAATATTCTTAATATCACTAGCCACGTTTTCCCACATAACAATAATTTAGACTTGATATAAAAAAATCAATGGGTTGGATTTTCTCTTGGTGGTAACACAAGCGCCTTTTTAAGAAATTAATTACTATTCCAAGTAGCATAAAAGAATGATTTATATTAGAGAAAAAAATAATGGTTATTTTGTTGTTGTTGAAATTATTGAATTTTTAACAGAATTATAGATTTTGATACATCTATTTTTTTTAATGAAAAAGAAATGAAAGGGAACATGCATTACTGTAAAACGAAGGCACTCCGTGCAATTGAATGTTATCAATTCATTTTCAGTAATTAATGCTCGTGATTTAGCTACAGCATTGAAGCTGGCTTGTTCTTTGGTGGCCCATTTGCATGTCTTTGTTGGAAAACGCAACTTAGATAAAACAGTTTATTGAGCTTATTAAATAAATAAGAAATATCTTTGGTTTAATATGAGCCTTTTCTTAACGTGTGTCAAATTACTTTCAGCTAATATTTTAATTTTCTATGCATGGAAGAATTTAAAATCCTCAGCTATCAGATCCCGCTAATGCATGGTTTGGTAAAGGGTTTAGTGTTTGTAGCCCTATTACTACATTTGTAGAGAGGATTTTTCCGTCATTTGAACATGGGATCTTCAAAATACATAGAGGCAACTACACCACTGCTTCCATTTGTTGCGCTGACACAAAATTACCCATTATGAAAATGATAGGTCCTTTATTCTCACTGTAGAGTTACTTCTTCCACTGTTTGTGTGGATTATTAATGATAAGTGTCAAATTAACTCCAAATTCCATGTTACTTTGTAGTTCACGCTCTACGGTTTTTTGTTCTGCATGAAAATCTTGGAATCTCAAGATTTACTTTGTCCATTAATTAGGTTAATGCTTAAGCATAACAATGGCAAATTTGGATTTAGTGCTTGTGTATTGTATGAATTATATTCTGTAAATGCTCTACATTTTCAAGGAATATTTTGGAATCCAAATGATGAATAAATAACTGCATCTCTTCATGGAAATAGTTATTCTGTTTTATTTTTTCTATAGAAATGTTTTTATTAGATAATGAATTAGGGAAGCAAATAAGGATTTTCTCATGCTTGCTGAGCTGTTTTTCTTGGAAATATTAGAATGACATGTGCAATTTAGAAAACTAAATCGTCTGATGTTTAATATAATTCCTTTCGATCGTACTCTCTTACCTATGTTATCCTTTAAATCACCTAATGTGTACAAAGTATAATTTATTTCACTGTAACCATACATCCTGCATTTTAAGTCTATTTTTTTGAAGCTTGTTATTTGCTATCCATGGATGGATATCTAATAATTATTTACTGAATGCGTGGTATTAGCTAGATCATGTTTTTTTTCTAATAATTATAAAAAATTGGTGCAGAAATACTTGGTATGCTCCTTGGAATCCATGGTGAGTATGATGCGAGAAGTTGAACTTCTTGAAGGGAAGGCTAAGCAGGCTCAAGAGGAGGCTTCTGTTGCTGGTCATCATATTCTTTCAAAGGTTGAGGAACTCCAACAGATTGTGAAACAATCTAAGGATGAAAACGATATGGTTGTACATTTTTTCCACTTGATTTTCTTGTTCCCAACTTCTTAATATGTCTTGAGAAAAGGGAAATATAATGTTATTTGATTATTGGCAGCAATCTGGTCAAGTGTATGGTGAGCGATCAATCTTAGCAACTGAAGCTCGGGAACTACAGTCTCGTCTCCTCAGAATGTCAGAGGAAAGGTGTAAATATCTATCAGTCATTGAGGAGGTTAGTTTGCTCTATTCTTATATTGTATCAAATGCTAAATCATGGTTAACCTCCCATGATCGGTGTGTATATCATCCTCTTTCTTTAGTTCCATGCTTTCCATGTTCATTTATATCTGTGACTGGAGTCCGTCCTTGAATTTATATCATACATTATGACAATAACATTTATACCTCATTTAACATATTCCTTATGTCATAGTCAGCTGCATGTAATTGCTTGCAAATCAGTTTGATTACTTGCTAATTGTTGTTAACATAGATTTGCTGTAACCGGTAGGATACTTACATGTTTAATGCTGAAGTTGCTTGTTCTTTTTGTTTTCTTATTGAATCTCTTATTATGTTTTGTTAATTGATGATTGATTGATAAAATATTGAAGGACAATGTAGACAGTCTTTACAGTTCCAAATAGCAAGTTTCACAATTATATTCAGTCCAAACGTGAACATGTTGCTTGGATACTTAGCCAATAGCACCATAAATATCCAAGCAACATGTTCAGATTTGGATTGAATATTCCTCATATGATAGTAGTGTTACGTGATTATATGGTCATGAATGTTAACCTAAACTATCTTTATCATATTTTCCATGGCCTATCCCTGGTTACAAGGTGATAGAATGTTTCACTTATTTGACCATTATTAGTTACGATGACTATGACCTGAGTGATACCCTGGCGACAATGAAAACAGCCGCCATTCTTTTAACAAAGGAATTCAGTTTTATTTTCTGTATGGTCCCAACAAGTAGATATCTATTCATGAAATATGTTGAGTTTACGTGCACCTGCTCAGGGCTGCATCAACCTACCCAGTAGGAACTCATTTGGGTATGCTGAAAGTTTTTTGTAGGGATAGCATGGCCAAGCCTGTTCTGGCTAATTTTGTTTGGTTTTACTGTTGCCGATTGCCTCGTTACTTCTGCGCATAAACTGGTTAACAAGCTTCTTTTTCTGCAGAAAAGCAGTCCATTGTACTCTACTTTAAACAGTACCATTTTAGAAGCTCGAAGAACATTGCAGCCTAATTGCACACTTGCGTTGTTTTCTATGATTGGTGTATACAGGTTGAAGCCTTAGTTGCAAAAGTTCTTTGAGCGAAGTAGTTTGCTGTTTAGTTTGTTAAGTGATTCGACAATACTGTTGTTTACTCAAAAATTTGGGTTAGTTAAATCTATAAGGGATAATTAAGTCCTTATGGATTGAGGCATTTTTGGGTTAGTCTAAGTGGGACTTAATCCATGTTTTTAATCAATCGATGATCCTTGTGTTAATTAAAACTTATGTGGCCTCAAAATCAGGATAATTAATTAATTCTACAATTAATTGAGTTCAATGTTTAAAATTGCGTAATTAAGTATTGAGGCATTTTTTGTTTGTGAGAAGTGATGTAAGCCTGAAGGTGTTTTGAGGCATAAGCCTCAAAATAAAAAAATTGCATAAAGTAAAATAAAAGTTGAAAGAGATTTTTTATATAATACTCAAATAATATGTTAGATAATTACATTAATTTTCTATTGAGCTATATAAAGTAATAAATTTGTATACATATGAAACAAAAAATTACAAAGGACGTAAATTGACCAATGATAAATTGCGTGAAATTGAATTGAAATCAAAATATTACAAGTGCAAAATAATATTAAATATAAGAATTGCATAAAAGTATTATATATCATCAAGTTCAACGTCAAATTCCTTCTTTCTCAGTTCCTTACTCATCCACATTTTATTCCTAAAAGAAGTTGAAATAGTTGGCTACAACTCATAAATCATCCGAACTATTATCACTGAGGGATTTTTTATTTGAGTTATTGTCATAACAAATTGGTCTCTCTTGTCTCATCTTGTGGAATTCTGGAGGTGGTGGACAGCTTAAGCAAATATGCTCATTTCATTATGCTAAGATATCCTTACACAACAATAATAGTGGTGTCGGCTTTCATTAGAAAGGTGGTTAGATTGCAATGGGATACCAGAGTCTATAGTGTCCGATCAAGAGAAGGTGTTCCTCACTCACTTTTGAAGGGATTTGTTCAGGTTGCAGGGGATTGTGTTGAAGATGAGCATTGCTTACCATCCTCAGAAAGATGGGTAGATGAAGGTAATCAACAGGAGCTTGGATACATAGCTGCAATGCTTTGTTTCAGAGATACCTTGACCATGGGCTATGTGGTTGGCGTGGGCAGAGTATTGGTGCAACACTTCATATCATTCGGCGTCTTAGATGACTCCTTTCAAAGTTTTGTATGGCAGAGACCTGCCTCATTTAGTGCACTTTGGGCAGAGTAGCACATCAGTCTTTTTAGTGGATGGAGATATTATTAGTAGAATTCAAGTTGGATGGTTGAAGTAGAGGAATGCTTCGGGTTTGTTGTGGGATAGAAAAGTACCACTTAAGCTTAAGGAAAAATTTTATAAGATGGTGGTGAAACCTATAATGCTTTATGGCGCAGAATGTTGGCCATTAAAAGAGAAGCATAATATTAAGTTAAGCGTTGTTGAGATGAGGATGCTCAGCAATATGAGTGTACTTACTCTTAGAGACAAGATACGAAACGAGCATATTCGGGAAAAGGTTTGAGTAATTCTAGTGACACATAAGATTAGAGAGTCTCCTTAGGTGGTTTGGTCATATAAAATGTCGGTCTTCTGATGACCCTGGTAGGAGAGTATATGTATTAGATTTGGCCTATGCTAAGAAAGATAGAGGAAGACCTAAAATGACTTGGTTAGAAAATATTAGAGATGACATTTCTTTATTTGATCTAAATGAGAATTTGATTATGAACATGACATAATGTGCAAAAAGGATTCATGTAGTCGACCCACGTAGTGGGATAAAGGCTTGATGTTGTTGTTGTTGTACGTGGAAGAGCAGGATATGATACTAGAAGAATTGAAGAGACATGTGTTGAGAGATTAGCAGATTATGAAAAGGCAAGCTGATGAGCACTAAAAGGCAAGGTTTAAAATTGCGTAAATAAGCCTCGAGGCGGTTTTCGTCCGTGAGGCGAGGCAAGTACCGAGCATGTACCGAGCTTGTACCGCTCAGTACCGAGCGGTACTGGTTCGGTACCGAGCATGTATTGAGCGGTACCGAGCTTGTACTGAGCGGACGAATGAAAGAAAGCCGAATCAGGAGTTATTCAAGCTTTCGTTACTGCACGTCAAAGTCAAGGCCACAACACCGCGTACCTGCTCTTCCGACCTAACCGATGCCTGAACGTTTCCTGCACTCACAACTTCATCTTCGTTTCTTTCCCTGCGTCGTCTCCTTCTGATTTCGTCTCCTACACTCACGGCTTCGTCTCCTTCCCTCACAGCTTCGTCTATTTCCCTCAAGGCTTCGCCTCTAGTTCGCCTTTCAATTCTCACAGGAAGCCCTAATCCTATACGCAAATACACGACTTAATGCGGACGCCTCGTCCGCTTTTTTAATGGTTGATTTTAAGTAGGTAAGACCATTTGGATGAGGCGTACGCCTCACCCATAATTGCGCAATTGAGGCGCGCCTCACATAGGGTGAGGCGTACGCCTCAATCAGTGTCCAAATTGCGTGCGCCTCGAGGCGCTTCAAGGCGCGCCTCTTATTGCACAATTTTAAACAGAGCTAAAAGGACATTCTATTTGAGGTAGGGGATGGAGTGTATTTGAAGCTTCATACCTACAAGTAGAGGACAATGGCTAGTAGAAGGAATGAAAAGCTTGCTCCACGGTATTTTAGTCCTTTCGTGATAGTAGAGAGGATCGGAGCAATGGCGTATCGACTAAAGCTACCTCCGATAGCGACTATACATATGGTATTCCACATATCAAAGTTGAAGAGAGCCATAGGGGAACACACCTCAATTACAGTGTTACTAATGATGCTGACAAAGGATTTTGAGGTGGTCTTGGAACCATTGGAGTTGGTAGGAGTACGATTCAGGGAGGGAGGAAGTAAGGAAGTGTTGATTAAGTGGAAGAATTTACTTGAGTACGATGCTACTTGGGAGTCATATGAGTGGATAAATCATCAATTTCTATCCTTCTACCTTGAGGGCAAGGTGGTTCTTTGGGATGGGTATTGTTAAACCAATCTAGGAGAGGCTAGTTCAGCTGGTCTAGAAGGGATCGATTCAATTCTACATCAGGCGGAAGCCTAGGCAGAATTAGGCAGATTCCGCCCTTTTTGAGGTGGGGTCCACATGTTAAGGAAGAGAGAGAGAGAGAGAGAGAGAGAGAGAGAGAGAGAGAGAGAGAGAGAGAGAGAGAGAGGATGAGCGGGAGATTTGAATCTGAAGGGATGTTTGGGCATTTGGCTTTGTATTATTTGCTTTTAATAGTTATTTTCATCCTAGGGTTAGGGTTGTATTGAATGTTTGTTGAATTTAGGAGTTCTTGAGGTTTGCTTGGTCTCTATTTGTCGGCTAGAGAAATGGGAGAGTCGGATCCTCCTCTCAAATTGAAGATCCATTGTATCTTCTTTGTTTTCTTCTACTTTTCATCTATTATTAAGTTTTCCTATTGATTTGCTAAGGATTTTATGCAAATTCCTAATTTTTTCTTGCTGAAATCCCAAATTTCAGCCACTATTTGGGTGATTTTTGCACTTGTTTCCTATCACTACACCAATTTGTTAACAGCCCTACAAGCATTACCTTTGAATGAGATGCTGAGTTATCAAATGATTAGTTATGATGTTTGTGGAACTTCGTATAGTGCTTATCAATAGATTCTTTAGTTTCACAAATAAGGAAATTATTGCATATTTCCAAGAGGGTTTACATTGTCATTAAAACCATTATAATAAGGTGAAATGTAAACATGCATTTTTATCAACATCGTGGAGCTCATTGTTGAGAAATTTTGATGATAAAATGATTTCTTATTTCGGCATGGCTATAATTAACATCTGTTGAGACTTATTGGATTGTGTTAAAAAATTTGAAGTTTGCCGAAGCCTAAAGGCTCTAGCAACAACAATAATAATTTTTTTTTTCTAGAAAAGAAA